ATTCAATCAACCTGAAGTTTAGTATCAACTACATGGAAGCCAAGTGTGTAAACGGAACAACAGAGTTATCGCACACACCTGACTCTTCATTCAGAATTTTAAGCTGGAGTAGACATAAAGCCAAAAGCCTGATAACCTCTATTCCATCCCCTTTCTACCCCTGTTCTGTTAAAGAGCTGCCCAAGACATGTCTTCTTTCGGCTGCACTGAAGTCCCTTGGGAGGGGCTCGCTTCCCTAAAGAAAAATCTATGTTACCTGTTCTGGTTGCTCTTAGCTGAAAGGCTAGGCACAGATTTTAAATACAATGGAAATATGTTGGGGAACCTATGGAAATTAAAGATAGTGTAGATATCAGATATAATGAGAAGGTATTAAAATGGGAAAATAGACATCCTTGGTTAGAAAAGCAAGTTCAATAGTTTGTACTGTACATCATTTGTCATATGTTTAATAACATATATACTATGTCAAAGGATACACACTAAGGTGTTAAGAGTGCTAATCTCTAAGGGGGGTGCAATTGTATGGGGAATATAACCACAATGAAAATGCATACATTGTGCAAAAATGAAAAATGTTGTAAAAATTATATAAAATATTTTAAAAAACATAAAGAAGTGCTAATCTCTATGATAGGAATATGAGCTTTTCTAATATTTGCTTATCTATATTTTCTAATTGTCTAAACTCACTGACAGTATTAAAAATAAAATAAGGGAGGGGGAGGTGGCGTGAATGTCCTACTTAATAGGAAAATAAAACTTTTTTTCCCCTAAAGATTTATTTATTTATACAAGAACCGGGGTACAGGCCAGATGCATGGGAGGGTGAGAGGATTCACCAGAGACAGAGCAGGGAACAGAACAGGCAGACTGACAAAATACACTGCTGAGGGGAGCAGCGGGTGCGACAGGAGGTGTCTGCCGCACCCTGTGGGATTCTCACTGGCCAGCCGGGATCGAACCGGTGCTGCAGAGGCTGTGGACAGCTTCACAGCAAGGCGCTCAACCGCCTGCATCACCAGGGGAGGCCCAGGAAAATAAAACTTAATGATTGTGTTAAGACCATAGATGGTAAAAAACACTTACTACCACCATCCTCACCCCTTCTCACCACAGACAAACATCAGAAATCTCCCCTTCTGACTATTTTGCTCAGGATGTTATAGAACAGGTATTGTCATAACAGGAGATTGTACAAAATGTTATCATACTGGAACATACTTTTTCTTTGAAATCATTTTGAAAGTTTCTTCCTTAAATCACGTGTGGGACAGGGTGTAGTCTTTGCCTGTGTCCAGGTGAACTTTCTGAGGTCAATACAATTTCCTAGGTTTCTGCAGGTTATTACAGTCTCTAATTTAGCTTTGTCACTGGAAAACCTAAGGAATGTCAGCTAAAAATAGGATAAGGCCTAGAACAGAGTCCTTTGTGAGCCATCTAGGGAGATGAGAAGAGTGTCACTTAGAGTAATTTCCGGTTGAATATCTGGAGGTTAGTGATAAAGGCAACCCAGAAAGTAATCTCTATGGACATGGATATTTGTCCTTGGCTGTGTCATGTCCAACATGTTTTACGTAAGTACCTAGATGAAGCTATAGTCATGCTTATCAAATTTGAAAAAGATACCAACATATTTTATGAAAATATAAAAAGAGCTTTTCCCATTGGAAAAATAGTTCAAAGAATGAAAACAGAACAGCTCAAACACCTACCCTTAATGTTAACAGCTAGCCAATTTCACCTATCTGATAAATATCTTACACACACACACACACAAAAAAAAAAAAAAAAAATAGGTGAGACTCCTTTCCAGGTGCTTTACAGATATTAATTTGTTTAATCCAACAATAAATTTATGGGTAGCTTATGTCTCACTTGTATCAACTGTTGTTAGAAATAGTGTGGGGTAGAGATATAAGTCACAGAAATTTGAATCAATCTGTCTAGGTTACAACCTAACACTATAGATATGTCCTCTGTGAGCTTAAAAAAATTACTCTGTTCCTCAGTGTCCTTATCTGTAAAAAACAAAATAGTTACTCATTCAACTATTATCAAATACCTACTATAGGGACACAACTTCATATACCTGGCCACTTCCTAAGAGTAAAGACATGTATTCAACTCTGTATAAGCTATTCTTTGTCTAGGGGCTTCACACACATACTCACATGTAAAAGATGAAGGCTATCGGCTTGAGATTAATCTCAAAAATTAAGAAAAAATATTTTTATTTCTAGTCTACTAAGTTTTAAAATAGGAATAGATGTTTAAATTTGTCAAGTACCACTTAAGTATATATTACAGATATTACTTTTCCCTTTTTAACCTTCTTATATATGCTAAATTGTTAACACATTTTCCTATTTGAAAATATCGTTGAGTCTCTGGATCAATCCAAATTACCATAGAACAGAATCCTCTTAAACTGCGTGGATTCAAATTGCATAGAGAAAAATCAGAATTTTTTCAATCTGTGTATAAGTCAAATTAGTCTTTTAAATGACTTGTTAATATGATTGATTGTTTTTGGAGTACAGGAGATTGTTCTTGGCCTAATATGATTAACTGAGGAATGATTAATTGGTTCTATCGAAACTATCAAGAAAAGAGAAAAATGTCACGAGTGTAAACTGTAAATGAGAAACAGGCTATAACAACAAAAGCAGAAACTGCAAACAAACTGGGATTCCAAGTTCAAAGAGGTTTAAAAGTTAGATCATACTAGTATAATTGCAAATTGATTATACATTTCTGCTTTCTATTCACTTATTTTAAAAGTTTACACAATTGTGCTAAATATCAATAAAAGGAATTCTTATACTTGATTTTTTAAAAGCACTGTTTAACATTTAATTTGTAATCAGATATATTAAATATATCTATTTGCAAATTTACAAGAGCTACATAAGAAATGTTTGCCTATTGTGACTCTTTAAAGATTGTTAGCTTTGGTTTAAATTTTGGCAAATGAATGAGAAAATTTAATGTATGATGAGATGTGTTAATTTGATTCTTAAATTATTATCAGAAAGATTTTGCATATTTGAAGACTATAAATTCTACACAAATAGGCAAAATTTATAACTATAGGGTTATATTCTTAGAATTTACAAGGTTAACAGTAATTGTTTTTAAAAATGTTTCTTCTACAAAAATGATATTCAAGTGGGATTTTGAAAACTAAAATATACAACAGTCTCTGCAACTTAACTCTCGTATCCATTTTATTGAAGCGCAACATGAATTGCACAGAATTTTTCTAAGTTCAAAATAAAGACAAGATTCACTAAGCTAGCTAAAATTCCAAAAGTTCAAAGTTTCCAAAAGCAAACTTTGTGCTCAGTTTTTCTGAAAATCATTTCCTCAACGCCGATTTTCTTTCGTTCCTCTGAAATCGGCACTTAACAAGGGATTTACTCATTGACTTCTAGTTACTTCCTTGCCAGAACATTCCTATAGAGAACCAAGGATGTGTGGGGTGGGAGTGGACAGCACCTCCTCCAGAGTGATTCAGTAAGTTTAGAAAAAAATCACATAAAGGAGAAGAAATGAAGAATGATGTTCCTTGAGAAGGAATAATTGCTGCTGTCTCCAGAGCGCTAGCAGGGCAGGCAGCCTTCTCTACAAAGTCTTCAAAAGGGGTCATCAACTGTGAAGTCAGTAACAGAATTAATGCTGCCAACTGCACCCTTGAAGCTAAGCATCAATGACACAACGCCGCTATTGTATAGAAATGGACCACTGTATTATCTTAATGATAGCCCAATGGACCCCTAAGCAATGCCAGTATATGGTTCCAGCTCTTTTAGATCTTACAGTAACTGTGTTATTATTACTTCTCCCCTCAAAGACCTTTTGAAGTGTTCAAAGCAAAAGATGAGAGCAGACGTGTGTTGCCCCAAATCACAAAGGTGATTTGCTAAAATAAAACAGCCTGGTGCAGACAAAAACCTCTACTTTCATTTTTCTCAAATTGAAAGCAGTGTCCACTGTTTTCAAAAGGTCCTATGGAAACAAAATACTTGAGTGTGAAACAGACCAACGGGCAGATATGGATGAGATAATTCCAGTCTTACGTGTTGGTTTGAGAAGGCAAAAAAAAGAACACTCGGGCTAATACTAGATGATTCTTATTTCCATATATTTTGCTATCAAAATTGCCTACAACTATATGGAGACAATGCTCTTTCAGTAGAAAATGCTTATGACAATGTATAAGTGAAAAAAAGAAAAATGCAAATTCTATACCTATTCCGCAGTAACATACGCTGGCAAGAAATGTACAAAGGTAAACAAGGAGATAAAAAGTAAAAGATACATAGAGAAGCCAAAGGCTACTGTTTGAATGGCAGTGCTGTGGATGACTTAGCCTTGGTTTGGAATTTTATTAAAATATTTTAATTTTTTTTTTTTTTAAATTAAATCAGTGGCAGAAGTCACAAATCGCCAGCCAGAGGCCCAATCTAGCCACACTACTTTTAACATTTAAATTTTGGCCTCTCTGATGGTGCAGGCTGTTGAGCGCAGCACTGTGGGGCTGTCCACAGCCTCTGCAGTGTGGGTTCGATCCCGGCAGGCTGGGGAGATACCCATGTGGCATGGCAGATCACTCCTATCTCACCCGCTGCTCCCCTCAGCAGTGTATTTCTGGTTAGTCTGCCTGTTCTGTTCCCCGCTCTGTCTCTGGTGAATCCTCTCACCCTCCCATACATCTGGCCTGTACCCTGGTTCTTGTACAAAGAAATCTTAAAAAATAAATGAATTTTAGCGTCACCCTCCGCACTTCTTGCCTGTTCCTCAGCTCTTTTATGCATAAATAAATCTTCAAAAAAAAAAAATCACTGCTATACCACAAAAGATAGACACCATAACCTGAAACCTGATGATTGTGTGCAGATACATGCATATTTGACAATGGAATGGTAGGTCTATTAAGTTGGGGGTTTTGTATTATTAACATTCCAGCATTGCCTTTGTAAAGGGACAATTCTTACCTTGTTAATGGTCCCAGGTCACCCGAGTCTTGGCTTCCAGCTTCACTGGGAGTGCTCACTGATTTCGAAGAGGGAGACATAGGGGTTGGGACTAAATAATGAAAATAACAGGTATCCCATGTTAAAAAATGCAGCGGCTGCACTGGGGAAGAGCAGTGTCAGATAAATCAAAACAAATGGGCCCAAATTAAAGTGGTTGTGTGGCCAGGAGAGATTGAGATGGGATACAAGAAAAAAAAAAAAAAAAAGGAAAGAAAAAGGAAGAAAGTCCAGTGAATTTTTTATATTTTGGAAATGAAAATTTCAAATGAAGTTAGACAGAATTAATTTGGGAATTCTAAGGTCACATTGACTTTAACAAAAAAAATGGAGAATCAAAATTGTTATTCAATAATTTAAGTCAAATATCTCTCCTGTAGTCAGTTATCGAGTGATAAATTTGTTATCCAGTTTCTCCAGTTTATTTGTTAGTATCGATGTGACCTATTGAAAGGAAAGATGAGGTGTCTTTAAAACTTTCAAAGATCTTGAAATAAATGTATTCTGAGTGATTTTAAGTGGTCAAGGAGTGTCAATCAAGACTGTTGTATGTCTGCATTTGGTGGGAAAGCTATTGTCAGTGGAGGATAAACTGTATTTGCTCTGAGAGACTCAGTGACAGATAGAGAAAGGGTAAATGTTGAACCTGGTAATTTAAAAATCTCTTTCCAAACAAAGGGAAATGCCAGGCTGCTTTATTTTTACATTTAATTAATAGTTTCATCCCATTGTACTATTTACTGTGTTTGGGATTTATTTATTTATTTATTTGTTGCCTCCAGCAGCACTGGAAGGCACTGCCATGTGCATGTAAGTAAACACCATTCTGAAGACAGGAGAAACAAGTTCAAAAATTGAGGTCAGCGAAAGCTGAAAATTGGGGCACGTGAGTAATAACAAAGCTAAAGGAAATGCAAATGTATTTTTTTCCTATCCTGCAGATACAAGCCAAATGTCCTTCAGATAGAAGCTGCTTCAGATGGCCAACATGGCCCCAGGCCAGACGAATTCAACGGGTTCTCAGTATCACACACGCCAGAGAAGCCAGATGGGCAGAGAGAAACGTCAGTGCATACTGTAGAATCCCATTTGGTTTCAATCAAGTGCAATTTCCCTTTATTTATTTAATAGGGTAAAGAGTTTAACTGTTTTGTCTAAATCCTATAACACAATGGCAGATCTGTCAAGAAACTAGGACTTTCTGTGTGATCTCACTATTCATTCACTGATTACCTCGGCCATAAGTCAGAAGGTATGTGAGAGAAATGGATGAAAACTGAAAATGGGGTCCACCTTAGCCAGGGCCCCTTGGCAAGGATGGTTTAGAATTTAGTTATGGTTTAGGGATATTTAACTATTTTGATCTTAAGGTTTAATTGCTGGCTTTACGTAGAAAGGGGAGATTAGGACGTACTACTGTTGCATTTAACCAGTGTTCACATTGCAACAGAACTTCAAAGGTCTTTTTGAGGCAAAACTATAATGGATTTCAAAGTGTCTAATTTATACCACAGATCAATTAAGTACAAAAAAGTGTGTCAGCACCTCAAAGAAGGTCCATCAGTCAAAGATGCCATAGGTTACATATTCCGTACCATAAAGAAGCGAAATAAAATAACCAACATCTTATCAGGGTTTATTATAACATTATTAGACATGACTTCACCTACATAAATTGAAGTCGAGGATAAAATGTTTTTCACAGTATTTAAATTTTGTGTGTCTGGGTTAAATTACATTTATCAATATTAAATTTGCAGACTTACATTGCTCTTTTTCTTATTTGTATTGCTACAAACCCTTGTCATTTTGTCATACATGAAGTTATTTTTAGCCTTAGTTTAAGGAGCTGTAGAGAATAATGGAAAATTTATTCTAATATAAAATCCAGTGTTCAAATTGAAAGACAAACCATTTTTGGAAGAACTCATATTGTGCCTATTTATATGTATTATTTTAAAAAGTTTCTCTCTCTCTCTCTCTCTGCAATCACGTAGTTTTATAGACACCCTAGGGTTACTCCGAAGTATATGGACAGCAAACGGATAAAGAAAAATAACTTCACATGAGAGATATATCTTTAAGTGACTGAACAAACACATTATGTACAAATTACCTTTAACACAAACAAAACAAATAGCCCAATATTCAAACCCTAGCGATAAATGAGTTCATGAGCAATTAACTAGGAATGAATGAGTTAGAGGAGGGGTGTCACAGTGAAAATGCCAATTAATAATACAACCAAGATACACAAGTCAAGTAGATTTACTAAATGCTGATCACCATTTAAGTTTCTTTGCAATTTCTCATCAAACATTCCATTTCATTATGGAAGAGCTCTGTGCCTGTGATTATAAAATTCATAACCAGATTCACAGTATTTAGGTTGGCAAAGAGAGGCTGGATTCAGCAATGGAAATGAAGAACATTTTCAGAAAAAACTCCAAGATTTCTTATTTTCGCCATATGGCAACTGATTTAATTAAGTATAAAATACTCTAATAGTAACACAGCAGGGAAGACTGACCATACAATCAGTCAACAAGCAGCAACCTGCTAACAACTCCATGACCTGTCCTCCCATCCCCTTTCAGCCACATCAACTCCAAAAATAAATATACTGTAAGCCAGAGAATTTCTTAAACCAAAAAAAAAATAATAATAATAAGGACTTGAAAGAATAGTAAGCGCTGGACATGGTACACCCCACACAAGTCAAATTAAGCAAGCAATGATGCAGAGCAAGGCAGGTACCTAGAGGGGGCTCCGGCGATATACCGATGCTTTGCAACAGGGCCTCCGTCTCTCGGCGTTTGCGATCCAGATCGGAGTCGTCCTGAACAGGTTCCTTCTTCTGCTGCATATCAGCCTAAGAAAAGGAGAGGTCGGTAAGAAAAGTCAGCGATAGAACTAAACATATGCTTTTCCTGGCTCAAACTGAAAATAGTAAATGCCTGGCAGGGAATGCCAGGCATGAGCCCTAAGTAAATATAATCATGTTATAAGGATGAAAAAATACTGTAACTGCTCCATTTAATCATGACCAATCAGTACTTTCTCTTTCAGTATTTTAGCTTTTTACTGCCTTTATCACATGATCTGAAAGTTTCTCTCACCTGGTGCTTGAAGAATTCACCAAGGCGAAGTATTTCTGACTGGGACATGAATTTGTTTCAAGTCTATTTTTTTTTTTTTACTTCCTTGTCCCTTCTGGAAGACATATTATCAATTTTTGATGAGTATATGTTTGTAATATGCATGTCACATGCTAGGGATTAGGCAAATAATTATTGCCATCTGCCTAAAAGAGATTTATTTATAAAAATCTAACTGTAAAATGCATACACTATTTGTATCAGTAAACTTAAGTTTACCATGGCTTAAAATATATCAGGCTAAAATGTTTATTGAAGTATGTAAACAGTAATGATGAAAGACCTATTACTTGATTCTGATTTTCATAGACTTCCATTATATACGTTGACTTGAAGGAGAAAATTGTGTAGAAGCATACTGAATAAAAAGTCATTTAGGACAAGTTCCTTTCACAAATTGTATCTGAGCTTCTGACAGTCAGAATCTATGTGCAATTTCAAGAGACTATGGTGACTGTTGATGGGTGATGTGGTGGTGGGAGATTTATGGTGATTACATCTGAGGGGAGAAATCAAATATTGTACAAAAATGAATGATGTTAGAAATAAAAATTTTTAATCAATTAAAAAAAATCATGTATAATTTGTTGTTATAGGTAGTGACCAATGACAATACAGGTTAAAGTCATTCAGTGGTAATGTGAACATTCAGGGCTCTTTATTCACCACACAGTAACTACTTGAGGCATTTGCCCACATCTGAAACATGACAAATCCTCTGATGTGCAGTTAACTCATAATAAAGCTTTGCAAATTTATGGAAATGAACTGTTTTACAGTTTGTCAAAAAAAACTATCCAATTATCAGATCCACCTTCCTCCCCAGGGCAATAATAATGGGGCATAACAGGGCATCATCCCCTTAAAGGACTGTAGAGGCCATTCAAAGCCCTGAAGCATCACTGGCACCATAGACTATTGCAGACAGAATTTGTGTGGGCCTCCCTGGTGGCACAAGGCATTAAGTCTCAGCACTATGAAGCTATCCTCAGCCACTGCAGCACGAGTTTGATCCCCAGCCAGGGAGCTAATCCACATGGCGCAGCAGACCTCTCCTCTCTCTCTTGCTGCTCCCCAGCAGTATATTTCAGTAGATCTGCCTGTTTGCTCCCTGCTCTCTGATGCATCCTCTCACCCCCTGTGCCTCTGGCCTACACCCCAGCTCTTGTATGCATAAATAAATCTTAAAAAAAAAAGTTTGTGCAACTTTTGACTTACCCCCAGATGGCAACCTACACACTGAAATATAAGCTAAATGCATTTTGGCACACAAAGCTCAGCTCAACACTTCTGGTTATTCACCAGAAATGCACTCACATTTTTGAAGTCTATACATTATTAGAGAGAAAACTGCCATTACAGGGCTGGTAAGGGCTGCTGAGAATGCCTGTGGATTTCAGATAGCCTCACATACTTCAAGTTCTGAAATGTAGTACAATCTCTATCAGTGAAGATGTCAAATTTCACACTATTTTCCAGTTTTAACATCTGAACTATAGGAGCAAGTTTCAAAGTTTATACATACAACAGAAGTAAATACAGAACTAAGATGAGAAAAGAGATGTTGCAGAGTGAATTTCTCTGTCAATATTCACTTTTATCAAAGTTAAAAGGAGGACTGAAGTGGGTGGGTGTGGTGTGGTAGCAGAACCTGAAGGGGGCAATCCTATACCTCTAAATCATGTACAGTGTCATAAACCCGTATCACCTCAATTAAAAAAAAAAACAACAGGATAGAAGGGAATGAGGGGAATAGAAGAAAAAGGGGTCACCAAAGCAGCTACTGAAATACAAATTAAAATACTTTGAGAAACAAAGTTCATCTTAGGAATTCAATCTGAATCTTGGGATTATACATCATTCATGCCAATTTCTACCAGTTGTACCCCATTCAGAAAGTTTTTTACAACAGCACTGTTAGGATGAATCATCTAGATTTCCAGTGACCCAGTTCTCACAATAAAGTCATATCTATATTCTAGCAACAACAACAAATCTTTACCTTCCTTCACTCTTTCGGGGCCTCCCCTGGTGGCGCAGCGGTTGAGCGCTGGGCTGCGAGGCTGCCCGCAGCCTCTGCAGCGCTGGTTCGATCCCCAGCCGCCCAGCTGCTGGGCGAGGGTCCCACAAACAAACAAACAAACAAACAAAACAAAAGCCATGACCTTCCTTCACTCTTTCAACAAAAAAATTTGAAGGACAACAAAGTGCAGTGGTAAAGAAACTTGAGTTCCAGTGAAGCTTATATAAAGAATGAACAGAAAAAAGATCTTCCTGATCATTTCTTTATAAGTAATTTTAGGACCTATTACCCAGAAACTTTTTGTCACATATGTCCCGTGCAGAAAGGCACAGAATCTTATCTTCAGACTTATTCGCACTTTAATCGCTAAACATTCAAGAAACATACTAGAGGGTAAATCACAGGTCCACATAGATACCCATGCACTGTGCACATGTGGTAGACCCAGCCTTCACTCTCACACTACAAGTTGTCTCTACAAATCATTAACTACCTTCCATCTTCTAGATTCTTAATGAAATAAGCAATATAATCACCTATCAATAAGGAAAATGTCCACCTAGTTGAAGTGGGAGCTTAGGAAAACACTTAAAGTTGACTATGACAAATGCAAAATGAGATAGCTGAGGCTTATTGGAAACAAAGAGAGTTCCTATTTTTTTAAATAATCTGTTATAATTAACACCTTAAACTGAACAAAGTGCTTTTACCCAAGACAGCTATATAAAGTGCCCCATCAGGAAACTTGACTTTCCCCATGTAAATACTATAGAATTCTATTATAATTTAATGACTCAAAAAGGAGTAATTTCACAGTACTAGTAAGGAAAAACATGCTAGGTGTCTTTCCCAGCAAGTGATGTTTCTGAAGAGTAATCAAATCTGAGACTCAAAGAGGATAATCAGAAAAATAAAATTTGTCAGTTGAGAATTGTCAGTCACTTTCCCAAAGACAGTTCCATGGTTATTAGAGAAACTGGTGAAGACAGGCCAGGAAACCCCTGGCTACCCCACCTTGCAGCAATTCGGCAGAAGGCCAAGGACAGACGAAACTTCACGGTGGCCTCCATTCAGCACAACTCACTGCATTAAGGCCAATTTTTCATGAAACCGGGTCTGCGTCTTAAATGGTAGCCACGATATTTATTTTAAAATTAGGTTTCATTCAAAATACCACAACCAAGAAAGCAATTATATCCAAAGGAGCTGAGAGTGGTAATTTTATACACGTACAGAGTTTTCTGGATTCTGTAGAGACAATCAAACTGGGTGGTCCTAATTCACACCAGTTTCTGTCATGGCAAAAATAGTCACTCAGATCAGCATTTAGAATATTAGTTCCTTTTTCATTCTAAAATTGTTTTATTTGAAATCTAAGCCTAAATAAAGTTAACAAAAATCAAACCTATAAATTGAAGCTGAGTTCTAACTTTCTACAAAAAAAAAAAAAAGATAGAAAAAATTCTTAAACTCAGGCATTAATGACAGTGGCCAGTATCCCACAGACTCAGCATCTGACGCTTCTAAGGAATTTGTAGAAAAGATTTCCAGAGGCCTAGAAAGGCTGTGATCAGCATCACATATCTGCCCTGACTATTTCACATGTCTTCTTATTCATTCTATAATCCAGGATTAAAGTCCTGCTATGTGATCTGTGCTAGACATTGATAAAAAAAAATATAGCCCTGTCTTTCAAAGCTAACACTCTATTAGGAAAGAAAAACAAGTGAAGAAGCAAATAGAATAATCTGTGCTAAATGCATCAATAAGGTCAAGGAGAGGGTACAAGGCTAACCTAGTCACAGGAAGAGAAAGATATCACAGAGGACTTCTTGGAGGAAGTGACATTTGAGAGAACTGTAAGACATAGTTATCAAATAGGTAAAGGGAAATTTGGTGAAGTAGGTAAAGATGAAAAACAAGAAGAGAACATTTACAAACTCCCTATCAAGAGAGAGTGTATAGTCCATAGGTGATCAGGAAAAAGACTAAAGTAAGTAGCTGAGTCAGGCTGGAATGTGGATTTTAGGGAGAAAAGAAATGGGGAGAAAAGAGAAAGCTGTAATGTCTGCACAGGACCTAGTGATCATTGTAAGTTGGGGAAGGAGATGGTGAAAGAATAACCCCAGATTTCTAATTTGGAAAACTGGCTGCCAGAGGGGGCTCTTCTTGAGACTGGAGATAAAGGGAGGGAGCTCTCAAGCTCAGACCCGGGGCCTCATCTCAAAAAAGAGGTATGGGACCTCCTCATCTCAAAAAAGAGGTATCAGGATAAATTACTTCCAGGGTTTTGTTTGTTTGCTTGCTTTTAGCAACAGAATGCAATAGGAAATTAGGGAACTTGAATTATAAGGCCCTTCTGAAAATGGGGTATTTTTGGAAATTGGCTTCATCAGCAGTGATTCTGACAAATCTCAGCAGTTAATCTCTGGGCTCCCATTCTCTTACTCTGGTAGCCCATCTCAGGAGCAGAACAACATGTTTCTTACTGAGCAGCTCTATGTCTTTTCACTCTTCCATGGTGTCCTCCTGGATCCTCACAGAACTCCCTGCGAAGGCACAACTCTTTGTTCCACTTTACAGAAGGGAAACAGGCTCAAAAAGGTCACATTCACTTAAGGTCATTGCCAGTGACAGTCAAGTCTAAAGCCTTTGTACATAACCACTGAGTTCAAGGTCTTCTGCTTTACAGCACCAGTTGCTCAGAACAAATCAAGTTATCCCAGTCCACAAATAGTGCTGAGACTGAACCAATGGGGGAGATGGGTAGATGGGTTCGCAGAAGGTCAGGATATAAAGATGATGTAGTTCAGTGGATCCCCCAACCAGACCGTATTTGGTCTTCTGAATTAGAAACTTTGAGAAGGTAAAATAGAAGATATGGTACATATACACAATGGAATATTGCTCAGCAATCAAAAAAGATAAACTCATGCAATTTGCAGCAACATGGATGGAGCTGACAGGGATCATGCTCAGTGAAATACTCCAGAATAAAAAAGAAAAATACCAAATGGTCTCGCTCATAGCAGGAATTTAGAAAACCCAAATAAGGGATCAGGAAAAAGACTAATTATAAAAAAGCGAAAATCAAAATCAACAGGCAACTATAAACCAGAGACACACTACAGGGGGAACAAGGGAGTAGGATCAAAACAAGGGTGGTGGGAATTGTATGGGGACTATAACCAAGATGAAAATGCATACATTGTGCAAAAATGAAAAAGGATGTAAAAATATATAAAATAAAAAAAATAGGACTCTGTATTGCCACAGGAGCCCATGGAGCAGGTCTTGATATCACAGTTTAGACCACAAGGTCAGCTTAGAAATAAGAAAATGAAGACTGTGGGACTTTAATTGCAGAACAAGGCAGTAGTCCTGGAGTAACTAGAGTCCAGGTGCTACACACTCCCCACCACCTGCCATCCCCAATCTCCCGGGGCTCTGTCTGCAGCGTAACGAGTCACACCTCCATCAGCAAAGTGGCTTGGTATAGCTGTTTCTTTTTGTTTAAAGGGTGGCCATTTTGACCAGTTTTGTTTGCCTGTAATTTCTGCCCCCCACCCCACATGTAAAATGACAAAGATGAAGCAGACAGCATAATTTGGAACCAGATTTCCCATATCACATCACATTTTGCAGTAATTCTATGACATTCAAGTTGGATATTAGAATGTCAGTTTGAGAGGAAACGGGTTATTAGTAAAGGATAACAGGTGCTTTAAAACTACAGTAAGTGTTGACATTTGAAGGAAAGAAAGCATAATAACTTAATGCTTTTCTTGGCTTTGCATGGAAATGAATGGCCATTTCTCGTCAATTCTCACCTCTACTTCAAGCAAAGACTACATATATAACAGCAAAGATCTCCAAGAGGAAAGCATTATGCACACTGTCAAGGACAAATAAACTATGGCATCAATCAAAGTGTAATGATACAGAGAGCCAGAGATGCCAAGACTATAATGGAACTGCAATTATGTTTTACTTTGTTGGAAAATAATTGTTATAAGTCTGTTACCTTGACTCTGAACCTTATAATCTGAAACAACATTTATTTGGTTTGCAAGGCATCAAAATACCTTCTCCTTTTCCTTAAAGAAAAATTCTGAGCAGGGAAGCTGCTCTGGCTTCCAGACACACAAGGGTGTCACACAATACAAAGTTTTCATTCTAGATTATTCAAAACTATCTTTGGCATCTGGTTTTTGTACAAGATGTGAGATATTTTTATACTGCCAAAACAAATTAGAGAATTACAAATAAATTATTTGTTGGCTTCAGATTGTAGAAGAAAACATGATATGACAGCAAGGCTCTGAGTTGGGAAGAGTCTGGCAGGCGGAAAAGCTGTATTTCACTTCTGGGTATCTGCTGCTTTGCTGGCATAAAGAGGGGTCTCAATGGAAGGTCTCCAAAATTTATTCTAGTTTTAACATTTCATGTTTCTATGTCTGTGGAGTAGAATCTACTGTACTACGCACCTTCACCCCAGTGCAGGGAAATACAGCTTGACCAGATCTTTGATTCTTATTCCCTGAAAAACGCATATACTTAGGAAATCCATTTACATTATTTTCTATTTTTCTTATAAAATGTCTCTGGGTGGTAGCTTTTAAAAAACTTTTCCTTAAAACTAACACTTACTAACTGTATCCAAGGTACGCTAAGAGCCCCACAAAATAAAAATATGACCATTCCCACAGTAAGGATGGGAAACAGAGACAGGAAAGCTAAGGAATTTCTAACAAAAGAGGAATCACAGCCACTCTGAGGGTGCTATTCAAATCTAGGGTGAATCTAGAGTTTGGGGTCCTCACAATCAAATGCTATATTCCCCCATTAGGTGGTCCCGGGGCAGCACTCAGCAGAGGGAATTCACTTTATTACCTAGTTTACAGGTATGTACTCGTTTTATTACGGCAGCATGAAAGCTTGAAAGTATTCTTTTTGCCCAGTCTCTCAGAACCAAGTGATTTTTCCTCCCCCACTCCAACAACCCAGCGCCTAATATTTACCTCTTTCTTTTTCCTCTCTTCTTCCTTCCGTTTCTTCTCTTCTCTTATCTGTGCTAAACGCTGTTTTTTGCGCTCTAGCTCAGCCTTTAAGTCACTTTTGTCAGACATGTTGGTTTCCTTGGAGAAAAAGAAAAAAAAAATGAATATATAAAAATAATCTTTTTCTATTATCATTGTAAAACTCATTCAAAAGGAAATCCAGCTTGAAAATGTGGCTTTTTGGCAATAGTAGGCAGTGTTACTCAACCTATGTAATAAAAAAATTAAGTTAGAGCTGGTTTCTTTCTATATAAAATCTTTTATGTATACACAAATATTTGAAGATAAACAACATTATAGTCTTTTCTAGTCTGAAGAATAATAACTTACTTCAGAAAAAGCAACACATTTTCTGTACACGTGTCTTAACAAATGAAAATAAAAGCACCAGCATCATGACTTCCAATTTAGACAATAATAGACAAGTTCTTCCCACACTGAGACAACAGGCTGTCACAAACCCTTAGAGACATGCTCTGTTCAAATTTCAATGGACTCGACAAACATTCCTCCACTGAGGTGGATACAGAGATTTTATTTGCCTAATATTATATACATCAGGGAAGACAGCCACTGAAGACGTAACATGTTAATATTCTTTCTCTGGAAAACTCCTCCTGAACTGTCACAATTAATTTCATCTCTAGTACAACCCTATTTCTATAAAACATTCATTTGCATACTAAATGCAATATTGCTTATCCTGGCACATTCCCTTTTCAAGGCAAAAGTTGTGGACCTATGAATTGGGAGGTAACACCATTGCAAGTTCTTGGGAAAATCTGTCTGATGAGATTTAATTGTAACATTCATGGAGATGGTGTCAGAAATAATTTCAAATAAAATTAATTTGGAGAATACTCTCACTGATCACCAATGACTATGATTGCCTCTTTTGAATTCCCAACTGGACACTAGCAAAAAAATGCAAACATTGAGAAATTAGGAATCCCATCTAGGCCTCCCTGGTCATGCAAGGGGTTAAGACGCAATCTATGAAGCTATCTGCAGCCACTACAGCACAAGTTTGGTCCCTGGCCGGCCAGGGAACTGCCCACATGGTGCAGCAGACCTCTCCTAACTCACCCGCTGCTCCCCTTTTACAGGGCAGCTAATACCCTCAGCAGTGTACTTCAGTCAATCTGCCTGTTCTGTTCCCCACTCTGTCTCTGGTGAATCCTCGCACCCTCCCCCACCCCCACACACACACCTCTGGCCTGCATCCCAGCTCTTATATTCATAAATAAATCTTAAAAAAATAATTTGAAGGAAAAAAAGAATCCCATCTAATCCAAATGCCTAAATGAAAGGGGGAAAAAAAGCAATTATCATTATACATCATGAGTATTCATTTGCATATCATTTGCATGCAACTCTGATGAATGTATACTATATCCTGAAGTAGAGGATAGAGTGAAAGAAAACAAACAAGAATCAAAGAATTCATAGCAATGAAAAAATCTCAAAGGTATAAAAGAACTTGCAGTCAATCTTAGACACTTTCAGATGAACACAGTCAGAAAGTATACTATGTTCCCACTGTACACATTCCTGCTCATGATAAATATCTGTGGCAAATATTTGTAAGCCAATAGCAACAATAATCACAGTCATCAATCTCTGCCATTCATGATTATTTTCATTTTTCAACAAATATTAAATATTTAATCCAGGCATTCTATAAGTATCAGAATATAAAGATGAGCAGAATGAGTTTCTCTAAGGAGACATAACAATTCTGTGGGCATATGGTATGGTTGAAGATGTTCTGAGATATTGGCTTATAGATGACTGAGCTTCAGGCACTTTCCATTCATCACAACAATCCAATAAGACCAGCATTTTTATTAATGTATTCTTCGCAATTCAGATAAAGGAATTTCAGCAAGTCCTAAGACTGCATAGTTTATGCATAACAAGACCTAAATTCAAACATGTTCATATTCAAGGCTACTATACTCTTCTGATTCCCAATGGACACATGCAGACAAACCTCACAGCAAAAGAATTGTCAGGATCTGGCAGAGAGGACCAGGATGAGTTCTGAGTAATGGTGGTGTTTGAACTGTTTATCATGTAAGGTCAGGAAGGTCAGAAGAAGGGAAGAAACAGACATGCAAAGGTGTGGAAGAGAGAATGAGCAGGTTGAATACGAGAGATGTGGATGAACCCAAACCAAGAAATACAAACTTTAGTGGGCAAGAATGGATATGTAGAGACAACTGATGAAGCTTTAGGAAAACAGAAAAGCGAGTTCCATTTGGTGGAGTGGGGAATCATAGCAGTTTCCTGAAAGGAAAAGTGACAAAATGAAAAATGGCATTTGTATAAGCAAAACAGAGTAAAAGCCAGAAATAAAGCAAGCATCGTGGAAGCTGGTGACAGCATATATCGGGATCACTGCACCTGCAGTAGATTGGTGAGTGAGTGTAGAGAGGGAAGGCAAGGAACAAAGACAAGAGAGAGAACACAAACAAGAAGAAAGAAGTAGCTTTTTGTGGAAATAAAATTCAACTTTGAAAGAGACAGGATGGCTGTGAAATTGGGAAGAGAAGGCAAAGAAGGAAATGAAAAACGTTCAGCATGTCATAATTTGGATGTCAGTGGAACTTGGGGCGACAAGAATGCACAGACCCAATACTATAGATAAGGCGACAAGCTGAATGGGCCTCCATGTGGAAAAGAGTTTGGAGTAATCCATCTACAAAGTACTATTTAAATCTGAGTCACAAATTCAGAGTCTTACCAGAGCCAGGCAGATAACATGAGGGAAGACAGCAGGGATGGGGGCCAGCCAGAGAGTAGACGTTCAGCATAAAGAAGGCAGTCCCACTCAGCTCCAAATGATGGCTGACATGGAAGAACATAGAGCTGAGCTCTTAGATGATCTTCTGATTTATTTTTTCAAGAGAAGATACAGAACTGACAAATGTCCAGTTTATCAATTAGTAAAAATACTAATTTTCAACACAATGGGCAAAAGTCTTGGCAAAGAAAATTAGAAGCCAATTCCAGAAGTCATCTGAGAAGCTGCATATACTCTTCTTCAGTGGGGGGCCAATCTAATTTATAGTTTTGATGTTTTCCTCCATCAAAAATGAAACATGTGATCAGAAAAATTGCATCATTCTAAAACCAGTCAGCAGAAACTTCTTAGACAACTCATTCTCTCCTTCACATTTCTTAGTTTTATCTACCTTTCCCCAATCCATCAAAAGTGTCTGGAAAAACTTCAGCTGTATATTAAAATCACTAAGGTGGGGCCTCCCTGGTGGTGCCTGCTGTTCCCCTCAGTAATATATTTCAGTCAGTCTGCCTGTTCTGCTCCCCACTCTGTCTCTGGTGGATCCTTTCACCTCCCTGTATCTCTGGTCTACACCCCAGTTCTTGTATGCATAAATAAATAAATCTTTTTTAAAAATCACTAAGGAGCAAACCATATAGTAAGAATACCCTACATATGTTGTGATTTTCTCGTGAAAGACTTTATTCACCAGTGGGAAGTGAGGTGTATTCTCAACATATTTCTGCAAAGGGCAAATGTCTTCTTGAAACTGATAAATACGTCTGACAATGCTGGTCATTTAAGTTGGTGTGACCAGTCACAGAGCCAATATTTTAAAAATAAACAACAAAAACACCAAGGGAACTTGTAAAAATTTTCATTAAGTAGTGATGTTGCATATAACACTTCACTTGTTAAAGGTAGTAGGGCCACAGTGTTAGAGACAGCTATAGAGTCCCTTCCACTTCTTGATTTTTTGGATCTATTCCAAAATAGACACTTTGCATCAACCCCTGGAAAATAAGAAATCTCAAGAGAACGCCTCATGAAGGGTTTGGAAAGAACACATTAGAGTAAATGAATGGGGCCTTTACACATAGTGAAATGGCTTAAATAGTGACATTAAATGCAGTGTCAGCACTGAACTGTACAGGCTTTCCAGGGGGGCTTCCCTGTCTGACCCACTAAATCTCCTTGCACATCAAACTAAGCAGATTGAGGAGCAAAGCATGGGGAATATGAGTTCTAGAACTTTCTGTGACTAATGTAGGTCACTGCAAAGACAATGCTGAAGCTCTCAGTTTAAGAAGAATAAGAGTTACCTGCTGCTGATTATTGCTCCCTCACTTCACACACACACACACACACACACACACACACACACACACACACACACACACACACACACACACACACACACACACACACACACACACACACACACACACACACACACACACACACACACACACACACACACACACACACACACACACACACACACACACACACACACACACACACACACACACACACACACACACACACACACACACACACACACACACACACACACACACACACACGGCTGTTCTCTTTCATTTACACCAAAAGAAAAGGGTCAAGGAGATAGACCCATCTCTGGGCTTAAGTTTTCTCCCTGACCAATCATCAACCTACTCTACTTCCACTAGTCAACTGAGGTTTAACCCTACCCTGACTTAAGAACAATTACCTCTGAATCTCACCCCAGCTCCATCCATTCCAGGGTCAGCTGATGCACATTTGCGTGGTTATCAGCTCTCCTCACAGCAGACTCCAATATTCCGAGCTTGCTTTCCACTACTGGCATTCTCCTTGCCCGCAGTCTTTTGTAACCCTCATTTTTTTTTTGCCCAATTCATGCTTCCACCATCCTCTCACTTCCAAATGTTAGCTTGTCCTCTACAAATGCTCCAGCTTTACTATCACCAACGTGACTATCATTTTGCCCTTCTGCTCTCTTTTGTCTCCCAAATTACCTCCAGTCCACAACAGATATGACAAAACCCAAATAAGCTACTCTATCTTTTCAGGACTCTGTACACCAATGCCCAATTCCCACAACTTTTTTTTCTTTTTCAAGTATTAACTCCCTACTATGATTTCCACCTGTTCTCTCACCCATTAACACCTTGCTTTACTAAAACTCATCCACACCCATCTTCCCAAACGTCAAGGAGTTCTCAGAACTTTTGCTTCAGTCCTTTTCTAATCCCAGTAAATTGCCATTCTTTGATTCAAGTAAATGAAT